CTCACCGCACCGTGTCCTCGCTCGGTGGGAGGGGGGGGGGTGCTACGCGTCATCGACCCAGTGTTAGCGAGTCTGGCACAGCGGTCTCGTTGTGTACTCGTGCGGCGACGTTACATATACACGGTTACATACACGGCGCTATTTTACAAACGGTGGAGGAAATCCGGTCATGGCCGACAGAGGCTGGAGCTTTGGAGATGCAGCCTCGAATGCTTGTGCCATGATTTGGGCGTGTCCATTGTTTAATGCTATGGTTAAATTACATCGCAGTTCTTCGCAAATATATCTAAGCTGAACAACAATTATCCACGGCAAGTTGCAACTATCCTTTGTTCATCCAAGTCCATACATCTCTTACTGAAAATAAATTTAAGAAACCAGCATCGCACTATTGAATAAAAAACATGAAGGCCAAACACTCCGATGAACGAAATACGAATCAAATTTTTAGGCTTTTGAACAAAGATTTTACAAGGTATTGCATTCGGGACCTACTGTTGGAATTAAGTCGACATCATTGGGACAAACCAATTTCAATTCGGCATTTCTCGGAAAGGCAAACAAAGGCATTCCATTTCAGGCGTATGACTGCTGTGAAGGTTGGATGTCACCATAAGAAACACACATGTCACATTTCATACGTGCCCCGAGCCGATTATTGCAGTAACCCATTTGCGAGTGACGCATGAGACGTCAGCGGCTCGTAAACTTAATTCTAGAAATCACAGTTGGCGCCATTAAAAAAAAATGAATTTAGTCCGAACCTTTTGAATGGGATGATTCACAAGGACAGAACCCCCGCTAAGCGTAGCTTGTTGCGGTGACCCTGCATTCTATACCCTCCGATCGCGCAATACCGGTTCCAAAGTTTAACGTGCGCACATAGCCGCGCACGGCCGGTCCCCTCACTGACTTCACCTGGCTATTGCCTGCCACCAACCACAACCATACCTGTCAGGAGGCCCATAAATGTCAAGCGCCCGTCGCGGTTCGAACCCGGACTATAACAACCGGGAACGCGTGCTCTCAGTTCTCACCACGCAGAGTCCAACGCTGAGCTACGGGACCGGCAACATGATGAACCTATTTAATGAACCTATTGATGAACCAGCATGTTTCCTGAAAACATGGAGTATTTGTAAAAGTATTTTTGCCAGTCTACGGCATTCCCACCATCCTTTGTACGATGCAAGGCGTTGAGGAGGCCAACCAGGTAAGATAACCGGGTAAGACTCGTCATATTAAAGGATATCCTTCTTTTAAACGCCATTCTAAACGGTAAGTAGATGGGATGGGGCGCTTGGGGATAGCTTACTCATGAAACAGGTGGGCATGCAACCAAAAGACAGTTCTCAGGAGCCATCGTATCGAGCCACGATAAACAGATGCATAAACATCTACTTGCCCTGGATACGTTAACAGACCGACAAACGAGCCCCAGGGGCATACAGCCCGTATCACCCAAGGCTCACAACGCCCATCGTTCATATCATCCAGCACAGAAAACAGACTAGATTGCCGGAAACACCTCCCAACGGCCCGGATGCAGATGGTGTACTCACCTAGTCGCTGGTTGAATATCTTGTCGAAAGTGACTTCGCCCATCTTCTCCATGTATTTGTGCATTACGCTCCGCACGCTGCAAATGGAAAAGAGATGTCAGCGACGACAACGGACGCCTACGCGATAGCAAATAGCTTTATAAATCTTGCTTAACTTGAATTCGGGGTATATGCTAATGGAATGAGACTGCATATCGTTTCCTGTATATGCTGGAAGAGGGTCAAAGGATAGCATGGATAAAAAAAACGATCCTGCTGGCAAAAATAAAAACGATTTTTTTCATTTTCGGGTCCAGTTTCGTCCGAACTCCCCCATAATCAGGTAATCTGCAAGTATCTTTTTCTAATAGGATGACAGCTAATCATGAACACATTGTATTCAAATAGCCTGCGTGGATAATCGTCTTAACCCATCAGCTCCCTCAGACACCCATCCAAGGCAGACCGCGGCTCCTCAATTTCAGTCCGAGTCTCGGTAGTGTGCGGAGCAGCCCCGTCCGTGATCCCATCAAGCCGCTTCCATCTGGCCGTTCATTTAGCGCATGTGCCGGCGAAATCCGGTACCGATGGTCGACTGAGCTGGTGAGGGGCGTGGCGCGAGCCCGCTGCCATGGGCCGACCGTGTGGCCGGGATGGCCGGCGAAATTGAGCTGCCACCAGCAATCAGTGGCCGCCATCGAGCATAAAGTCGTGCCTTTCAACACCCTCCGAGCCAAGTGCGGGTGAGCTAGTTGGTGCAACAGCCCGTCACTTTCGGAAACGCAGGGGAAGTTGTGGAATATGAGTAATATGTATCAGCTTCATGTTTGTCATCGAATTATTTTTTATCCGTCTTCTATGTTTTTAACTGATAATGTTCCGTCTGTGAATATTTCATTAGTGTATACCAAGCTAGTCTCAAAAATGTATCTTATCCGTGCCATTCACAACTTATAACGCAAGGTGATCATAACTTAGCATGTGTATCTTTGATCATCGCTTCTCGTGCTGATGGTAGAAACAGATACAACTGTTTCTCACATCAGCGCAAGTGGTTATGATGACCGTGACGAGGCTAAGCGAAGAACGTAGGTAGTTGATCAGGCAGTCATATGCCATCGTTATAAACTTAGTTCCGACAACGATGTCCTTACTGTTAAGACCACGGGCCGAGGAACACGAGACGACAGAACGATAGGACTAGGTACTAACGGTGCCCGACTGTTGTATCTGTTTGTTGACTGACAGATATGCTGGATATCAATGTATGTAACGTAACTAGCACGACACGTTTCTGAAAACGGCGAATGCCTGGGTGATGACAGATTCTAGACTGATAGCCAGACATGATGTAATGTGATTTCAGCTCGTCCCGGTACTCCGTGATTTAAACATCCTGGGTCCTTTTCGTCTAGACAGATGGTATCAGAACATAGCGAAACTGGACGAGCTTACTAGAAAAGGGCGAAATGCCTTCACCAGCGAAGGTAATAGTGAAACGCCTACACTTGTGAACATTGCTTGCCATTCGCCCGCAATATAAGGCAAATAAATCGCGATGTGCAATGTTCGTGCCGATGACTGTCTAACTATGACGAAATTGATTTACGAGTCCGTTGCTGTGTTTGACTGCGTGTGCTTCAAACTCACGCAGAGATAAAGATCTGCACGCCAAAGCGGATCTGGGCGTAATCCGGTCGGCCCGACGGCTCTAGGCGGCGATTAGAGAGATAACACTAGTTCGCACTGTCGATAGTTCAAACAGTAGACGGTCCTCAGACACCCGTGTGAAAAAACACTTCACACAAGACATGTTAGCGCGGTCGTGGATATCAGGTTTCTTACGCGACATTCCCGAGCCGCAGAGCGCGAGACAGATGTATTGATATGTAGATGAATGCTAAGCTAGTACGGGTCAAGTGTTTCATTGAAGCTAGCGCCTAGCTGGCACCGAATGTGTAATAGCATAGCATCAGGTACGGCTTAGCGACAGACAGGTACAGTTACAGACGCTGCAAAAACAATTACAAACGCCAGCCAGGAGCTCTAGCTTTTATTGCCACTGGCGGACACGCAACTGTATTTGATTACTCTGGCTTCTTGTTTACTGTATTTGATTACTCTGACTTCTTGTTTACTGCGTACGCCTACCAAACTTCTTTTTTCATCAGCTAAAAGGCAGCATCAATCGCCAAACTTCGCCCCTAATTCAGCTAATACTCCGTTGTTGTCTCAGAAGCGGTGTGTATCAGTGGCCGGTAGGGGAGCAGAAGCATCTCCGGGATGCGCCGCCCGCCGGGGAAGTAGGCGGCCGTCCACGCAACAATCTCATCCGCGAGTCGCGTGATGGCAGTGCATCGGACAGCGATCTTGGCACCCACTTCCCCCGAAATGGATGGCCTCCCCGCGGCTTCCCACAAACACAAGCGCAGCTGCACGGCTCCGGCTCCGTGCGCAGACGGCTCCGGTATGGCCTCTGTTTCAAGGCACGACGCTACAGTGTGCTACGCTACGTTATGGTATTGGTGCGGAGTTTGAGACGGATTCGCCTCAACAAACTCGGACGCTCCCGCGTTGCGACTTGCGAGCGTCCGAGTTTGTTGATGTTTCCATTGAACCCCAATACACCGATACGCGTAGCGCGCTGTAGCGTCGTGCCGCGAAACAGGACCATGAAGGGCTGTACTCGGTCAAACACCGTGCCCAGCTCACACCTCAGACGAGCTCCAGCCCCGCAGAATTAGCGATCTGTCGAAACATTAATGGCGTCTGGCAGACAGCGGCCGCGGCTCGTATCTGACTCGCTGCCCGTGGTGACATAAACAAATTATACTCGTGGACCGTTACCGACGAAACAAGCACAGCCAGCCCACAGCTCAGGAGCGAGCAACCGCGGGAAAATGACGAAATCCTCTCAGTCCGGCGGGAGTTTTCAGAAATTTTCGACCCAGGGGCGTGAAAAGCAAACCATATAGGGTATAAATCTGGTTTAGGTTTCCGAGTAGTACCGTTCATTCAAGAGCCCCTGTTTGATTGAAACATCGATGAGACATAGTCACGTGTATACCGAGTGATGCAAGTTAAGTAAACATCTAGTTACCACGAGCCATCAATCAACTGCCTTTACTAGACTTGACCATTGAAGAAACTTCTAACATATACCTACCCCATGTCATTAACAGTTCCAACCAGCACACAAAATAGCCAACGTCACTAGAAATTCAACAAGCCCCATCCACCGTGCTGTCTCCCACAGTCCCAGGGCGTCTCTCCCTCCCTCTCCATAGCCACAGAGCCCCCATATCACGGACAAGGGGGGACAGTACCAGCAGCGGCAACATCAGCGGTAGCAGTGACGACATATATGATCAATATCTCCCCGCACCATCATTATGGGCAGCAAGTGGTCGCCTACGAGCACTCACCGGTGGCTCGTTACATAGGCCGACACGGGAAATTAAAGACGATCGCCGAGCGCACAACGGAGAGACGGTCGATAGTCATAGCGCGTGGGACGGAGGGCAGAGGGGAGGGGTGTGGTGCGTGGGATGCAAGAGAGCTTCAAAGGTCCGCGGCGAAACGCCAGGCACAGTGGTGATGGGGAGACAAGGGAGAAGTGTGAGCCACGCGAGCAAAAGGCCAAAGGCGACACAAAAGGGGAGAGACGAGAACGAAAAAAAACAGCGGTGGAACGAGCTGTGAAACAGAGAAAAGGACGATAAAAAATAGACGTCGAAGTAAAAAGTTGCCACCGTGGATAAATTATCTATTGGACATGAACATAAATCGGCGATGAGCAGCACGAGCTCCAAGACCTGCTGTCAGGAGCTGGGAAAGTAGAAACGTCAGACCGAGAACTTAGCCGCCAATCTCAATTAGGCCAAAACACTTCATCAGCTCTCCCAGCTACAATAAGCAAGCCAACAATGCCACATCACAGGCTCACCGAAACCGTGATGATCATATCATCTTCAGCATCCTCCTCGATAAGACAGTATCTCGACGACCATAGCACACGTGAATTCAGAAATGTGACCGTTAATTTGGAGTCCTTGGCGTGTTGGCATCATCGCGTATCACGTGCAGCGAAACATTGTATAACCCAGCCTACAGAAAAACATGCACGTCTGATGCCACTACCAGGAAAGCTCAGCTCGGCGAAGCAGCTAATGAAAGACAAGGAGGGAAAGGTCACGGGACTGCCTTGTCTGCTTTGTGGTCACAGGCGGGTCATTTGGGTTCGTGGAGCTCAGAGCAGCTTCCGTCATATGATGCCTCTGAAATTGCAAAAGCATCTCATCTGCAAGCGGTTAATGGCTAAGTGATGGGATAAACATAGTCTCTAATGAAAATTGACCGGGGGTTCAGCGTCAACAGACAGAGGAAATGATACGGCTGGTATAATCGAAATGCCACCGGAAGTATAATCGTTATGAAAGTACCGGACCAACCGGGTCTGAAGAGAAAACTCCAAAGGTAATGATCAAATGTTTAATTATTCCTGTTACTGACATAGCAATAAATTCGACGCTTGACAATTGGGTCCTCAGAAAGCGTCATAGCCTTCCCTCCCCCTCCTGCCGACAGCAGTGTAACCCTGCACACAACAGGTACTCAAGCTAATTATCAGTTGTATCTATGCGATCACTCACAATGCGTGGCATGAAGACACGTAGGTTACTATTTCTTCGGGCGTTTAAGTAATCATGCATGTATGTATGTTACCCCATGCCCTTGATGCATTATGCATTCATAATTTGAGTAGGTGTATGTAGTTTGTTTTCGATGTGTTGCGCCTTTGAACAGCATTGACTGACAGCGCGCTGCTGCATGGGCCTTGCTTTGTTGCGGTAGCCGTGCATTGTTCCGTGCAGTAGCCCAATGGCGGACGTGAGCACAAACCGGATCAGACGGGAATCGCGGGGATTTCTGACGATGACGTCATATCAAACAGCTGAGCGAGTCTGCACTTTAAATCACTCACACAAACAAACATTGTGCTGGCGCCAATCAGCGCAGTTCATCGTTGCATGAAAATACATGAGTTTTCGCTTCGATAGTAGCTCCCTAATGGGATTCCGTCGTAATCAGTGTAAAA